GAGATTTTTAGCTGAAACTATTTCTGTTTCAATGTCTCTCTTTTCTAAGCTACTGTAACTTTCATTTCTCACATAGCATCAACTACACTTAGAATTTTATAAATGTCTCAATTTGTCAATCGATTGTAATCATATAGAGGTAGAAATGACACTAAGTTGATGTGTGTTGTCCCATATTGCCAAAATATACAAAGCATGTCCCATATATAAGTGTTGAACTAAGTTGGGAATGGCACATTCTCCAAAATGAGAAGCCATTTTTGACCCACTCATTCATTTCTTTTCCTCCCCTGGTTTATGAGCAAAGTAAATTTTACACTTTCATGAAAATGAAATATATGGAGTATATATAATATTTAAACAATGAAGTTGTTTAAGGAAGATGTGTAGGATGAGCAATCATAACAGTCACAGAGGATCTTTACTTATCTTCAATCAATGTCAATCATTTTAACATGATGAAAGGATTTCTTAATACAAAGGAATCGCTGATGATATAGTAATATAATTCATTTTCTAACTGCTTATTCAGTCTTCCAGGGAAGTACTAAAAACTACATATTTTTTTAAAAATTCCTATTTCTGACCTACTTTCTCTTTGTATACTGCCTGTTAGAAACTATGCTGCATTTGTCAATTTAAACACTCCATGTGGGAGTTTCAAAATCATTGCTAGTTTTCACATAGGTCCAAAAAAGTGAATTGGAAATTTTCCACTGATTATAATCAGAAAGTAAGTCTTTAGTAACTCTACATTAATTTGCAACATATGGACTTATAAAGATAATGGAGCATTCAGCTACTATTTAGAGAAAGCTATGAAATAAAGATGAAAATAACATAATCACTCAAGACAGAGTTTACAAATGTTACAAGTTGTTCATTTAATATTTCACAAAATGCAACTGGTATGAATCAGATTTTTAAAAGAAAAATTTTAAATCTGAAAATTCTCTTATGTTTTTAGATTTACTATGCTTTAAAAGATAGGTGTAAGAAAAACATTAAAATGTAACCTAAGAATATTTAGATAATTTAACTGACTAATGAAGTTAATGAATGTCACATCTGATCCAATTAATCTATATTTCAAAAATATATGGTAATAAATTAACAATAAATGAACAATAGAATAATTGGTCCTCTTGAGAATAAGACAATTACTGTGAGTAATTTAGATTAACTAAATTTTAATTTATTAATTAGAATCAAACCAACTTACTTTTTGATAAACTCCAATGAACTTTGAAAAGTCTCAAACTGTAACATAGAGCCCGTGTTGGGGAAGAAAGTCAAGTCCAAATGTGTTAGGAACCCTTTACCTATATCAGAATTGCTTGGCTCACCCTCTGTTCTTTTATGTTAGTGTATTTTTAAATACTCAAATTCTCATCCATTTACACATATGGTATATGTGTATTTTTATATTATTAGAATATTATAGAATATTTTAGAATCATTTCTAAGAAATCAGGAACAGTAACTGGCATGAACTCAGTTGCCTGCTCTTTGATTAACTCATCCTGGCAAAAAAGAGGATCCAGAAATCCTGATGAGACCTGTTAGGCTAGGGTCAGATAGAAGGGGAGGAGGACCTCACCTATCAGTGGATTAGGGGAGGGCCATAGGGGGAAAAGAAGAAAGAAGGATGGGACCAGGAGGAGATGAGAGAGGGGGCTACAGATGGGATACAAAGTGAATAAATTATAATAAATTAATAATAATAATGAAAAATATATAAAGAGAAATCAATTAATGATCTTATTAGTTAAGCATATGCAAATTTCATGACTTAACAAAATTAAATTAACATCTGCACAATTCTTTCCAAGTGAGTGTGTACTAAATTCACTAGAAAACTGATATTGTATCAGTTGGGGCTGGTGAGCAATAATAACATCAAAGTCATATAATACTATTTAAAGATGACAATTCACCATTACCAGTAATTTTTGTTCTGATGTCTTTTAAAAGCATGTTGCAAAATTCTAGAAAAACATGTCCTTTTGTCTTTTAAATTCCATTTTGTAGATGTAAAATAGGATTTGAGAAAAACTAAAGATAACAATGAAAAGAAGAGGGTAATGTTGAGACAGAAATAATTCAATGTTCTACCTTCAAACACTATCACACACACACACACACACACACACACACACACACACACACACACACAGTCTTGAATATTGCAGAAATGCCTGGTAGTCATGAGCCTACTTCCTCACCTTTTTAGTAGTACTGGGATTACAGACATGTACCTCCACACTTAGCTCAAGACAAGCATGATGCTCATGATTCTCACAATATGCATTTTTTTTTAAGTTTTCTTGGAGACTGAAATAACTTTTCTGCTTTTCAAACTATTCACTAAGAAAATGGAAGCATTAAAAGGAAATTCATATTAGCTGCATAATTTAAAAAAGAAAGTTTCAGATGATAAATTGAGCATTCTAGAGAAGACAAAATAGTGCAAGATTTTAGAATATGAACTGGGCGCTCAAATTAGATATCTGCTTTAGGTGAGTGCCAGATGTCCTAGCTAGCTCTTCTTGGATGTGCGTTGTTGTTTTGGAGCTACTTGTGAATACTTAATTCTATAAACCTTTGTAACACAGAAAGTGTTGTAGAGCCAGAATTTACCCACAGCTAATAAGGTCTGCATAATTATTGCACTGGTCAATCATGAAAGAGGTAAGAATAATTTTCATATAAATTCCCACAAATATCAATTGCTTCAGCAGAGTATGGCAAGTTTTGAAAAAAAAAAAAAATGGAACACAGTTCAAAATGTGTATTTTACCTCTTTTAAGTAATGTTGAAGCCAGAAGTGGTGGTACATGCCTGTAACCCCACAAATTTGGAAGGAAGAGGCAGGAGGATCTCTGTGAGTTTGAGGTCAGCTAGGTCTACAAAGTGAATCCAAGACAGCCAAGGCTAAACAGAGAAACCCTGTCTAGGGAAAACAAAATCAAAAAACAAAAACAACAACAAAAAAAATGAATAATGTTACTTTAAGAAGCTAACAAACTTAAAATATAACAAAAATTAAGATACTGGGTTCAAAAATAAGTTTATATATACATATAAACTTATTTTATATATATGTTATATATTATATATAAGTTTATATACATATAAACTTATTATATATATGTTATATATTATATATTATATATATGTTATATATTTATATTATTTAAGCTTATATTTATAAGTTTATATATATATATATGTGAAAGTAGATGAAATAGGAATTTGTTCTTTTCAAGATGAACTGTTCTGTTCAAAACACAAGATAGATAGATAGATAGAGATAGATAGATAGATAGATAGATAGATAGATAGATAGATAGATAGACAGTAACTATATATAAGCCAATGGGTGATGAACCAGCACATAGATTCCACAGTTTTGTGCTGCCATCTTCAAAGTAGGTAATGGATTTGAAGGCAACTTATTCACTGGTAACTATACTTTTATGTCCCATAGTGGCACTATAAACTGGGTTTTAATAGTTATTTTCCTTAGAACTGTCAAGTAACTGTACCTTTTGCTCATATATATATATATATATATATATATATATATATATATATATATATACATTTTTGGAACTTCAACATTTCATTGACCTGTACTGAGTCTTTTCTATAAGGTGTGTTCATGATCTCCTCCTTATTTTGTCATAGCCAGAAAGGGCTCTTCATCTAAATGGCTGCAGTGTTTCTTGACCTTGGTCACATGATCCACAGGACTAACTTAGCAGTGCCTTGATCTACCCATATATATATGGGTATAATATATATATATATATATATATATTATTCATTTATTTTTTTATTTATTACAATTTGTTCACTTTTTCCATTATTTTTTATTTTTAATTATACTTTATTTACTTTGTATCTTCCCTCTAGTTCCCTCTCCCCTCCCCAAGTCCACTGGTAGGGAGGGTTTCCTTTTCTTTCTTCTGATCCTAGTCTGTTAGGTCTCATCAGGAGTGGCTGCATTGTCTTCCTCTGTGGCCTGATAAGGCTGCTGAAAGCAGCAGACAGCACACTAGGTTAACAGTGTTTGGTACTCTTATGAAAGAGCAGGTCAATTCCTGTGCTCGTAGGTCTTGCCCAAGTACAAACTCTAAGGGTTCTGCATGTAAATTGTAATTGTCTTCCTGCTTTCTCTATACATTAGAACTCTATAGATACTATAGAATCTACCTAATGTTCATTGAAACAAGAAGTATAACATAGAAATGAACCAAAATTTGGACAGGTAAAATTATTTAAGCTGTGCTAATAAGTCTAATTAATCCAACACACACTGTTGATAATGTCATAAAAAATAAAACAAGACTATCTATGAGAGAAAATTTTATGTGAGTATAAATTTTTAAAGGTGTCATATGTTGGGAATTTGAAAAAACACAGGGTGTATGGGGTAACTAAGAAAATCCAAGAGTAATCAAATATAGCCTTTGAGGAGCTGTGTGGATTAAAACTTGTTCAGTTGTTTCTACCAGCAGACTGCAACCCAGACAACATTCTGCATTCACAGTATATTTTTGGGTATATTTGCTAGTTAGCCAAACACATTATATGATTTCAATAAATGCTTGCTGAAATGGTAAGAGTGACTAACAATTTTTAAAGCATAAATAAACATATACTTACTGAAAATGTTCTTACAAACAGGTACCTTCATCACACATATGAGACAGTGAGGAATTTTATGATGTGACTTATCTGAATAATTTTGGGATCTTATATCAGATTACTATTACACCAAATGTAAATAATTGAATGTAAGAATTCATAGGTCATGGCTTCATGGTAATTATATGACTAGCACATTTATCCATGATATTTGAAAGAATGTTTACTTCTGTTAGACACTAATGATATTATTAATAAAATAATTGTAGTTAGGGTTCTTGTGGTGTGCAGTGTAGAATGCATCACTTCTGTGTTAATGAATTCAAGGGAAGGCAACAGCACTATTAGTAATAGCTTTTATTCGGAGTCCTCATTTTCCAGACAGGTCACATGAAACACAGCCATTAAACAATAGCGTTGAGATAAATCCATACAATGTATGCTGCTTTTGTTTTTGTTGTCGTTGTTCACCAATCACTGGTGCAACGAAGAAACTTATGAAGTGATGGTACTGATAAATGGAAATAGTTAACCTGCAAAAACACTGGGGCCAGGAGAGTCAGACTTTAATCAGGTCTCATTCAATTATGTTTCAAATCAACACATCTTGATAGCCAAAACTCTCATGGAATTAATGCTCTGATAAATGCTGTCTCTTGTCAAAAGAATATAATTAGACAATAATGAGTAGGCATATATTATCCTAGTCCTTGCTCTATTTGTTGACCCCAGGAACTTCCACTCCATTAGACAACAAACAGCTTTTAACCTGGCTCTCATAAAGCATACTGCTCATTACTACATGGCCATTTTTTATGGTACCACTTTTTTTTTTTTTAATTTGAACAGTGCCTACATCCTTAAAAGGAAAGTCATGTTTTACAAGAGCTCAGTTAATTTAGGGAAAGGAACAATCAATTTCTCTCCCAGTAATGCAGTGAATCAAAGGTACTTTCTTTTGTATGCTGTTTGCAAAAAGTATAAGTTTGTTGGGTAAAGAAACAATGTGGAAACCTTGCTTGAAATTACATAAGATATGTGTCCTTAATGTTTACTTTACTATAGTGTGCTATAGTGTGACACTGATTTTTTACTATTTTGAACTTATTGAAAACATTTTCATTATTAACTGATGGTGAAAAGATTTCATTACTGATGTTTTGTTTGCAGTTCATCATCAAGCCTTTTTTGTGTTTGGATTCTTCTACTAAAATTTCCCAAAGTGGACAGTTTTCCTCTGCTTGAATAGGTCTAAAGAATTAAAAGACTATTTTTTTTATCTTGTGTGTATGTATGTCTATGTGGTGTGTTTGTGTGTCTGTGTGTGTGTGTGTGTATAAAGCATTCTAAATTTACAGAAACCCCTTCAATTTTAACTGATAATGTACTACCATTAGAGCCATTGTTCCCCAAAGATATGATTTTGGCCTCGCAAAGGCTTCTTTGGAAGCCAAGCACCAGAGTTCTGTGATAAAGGCAGGTCCCAGGGAGATGAATAAAAGCAAGATTCCCTCAACTATAAAAGTTCAGAGTCCTGACTTGAACTACCACCAACTTCTAAATAAATAATCACTACTAAATACAGATAATGTATTAAACATCTAACACTAGTAAATCACTGGTGACAGCTTAGAGTCAATCCCTCACATATTGGCACAACCAATTCTGAGACTTGTGTGGTGTTCCAATGTTTCAGACACTTAACAATACATTGAACAACTAGTTACTTAGAATTAAGAAGTTTTAAAAAATAAACCTATTCTTTGTGTTGAATTTATTTGCACACTGCTTTAGGTTTCACTAAGTGGTTATCTGAATAGTGAGAGAGAGGCGAAGCTTGGAAAGACTAAAAGGAAATGTTTTCCATCAATGTTCAACTATCTATCAAGCTAAATCAATTTGTAGTCTCCTGGTAGAAGTAACATTATAGAACAGAGACAACACATTGTAGATACATAAATTGTCCAAAATATAGTGTCAATTGGGTTTCACATGTACAAGATCTCTTCTTTTCCAATTTAAACATGTATGGATAACAAAAAGCAAGAGTAGAGCTGTGGAAAGGCTGTTAGCAAGAACCAGATGCAGTTCTCAAGAGAATAAGGCTGATGGGAGTCATCAATTCTTACCCCCAAAGCAATTTTGCAAGTGAGGTACGATCTAAAACTTTCCTGAAATGATGGAAATATTTCTAGCAGATTGTTTTAAATTATAAAACTTAATTTAGTTCAGTGTTTGTTTTACTTTTCCTTTTGTTTTTAGTATAAGGATTTTATGACATTTATGCTGTTTCTACACTGGTTTGGTGGCCAGAAAAGAAGGCACAGAATTCTCTCCCAGTTTGCAAATAATCATTTTTTTCTGCTCCAGTGCACAAACAGCCTTTATTTAACTCAGCACCACATTTTCCAAGGTATGGGCTCAAACTGTTTGCCATGAAGCTGTTAAATGCCAAAAAAATTTAAACGCTGAAGGAAAATGTCAATCAAGGCATTTCCCCATCTGCTACTACTTCTGTGAGTGCTAATTTTATTTTTCCAAATTCCTGAAATTAGAATTGTCTTAGCCTCATAAGGAAGTAAGTTGGAAACCTGTTAAATGTCACAAGAAAAGGTGCAACCAAATGATGAAATAATAGGTATTGTTCTCAAAGAACAGCAATAAAAAGAGGCAGAAGAGCACTGAAATACAGGAAAACAATTTTTGTTAAGACCCAGACCTCTTGAAACACAGTACTCAATGCAGGTAACCAGCACTGGTACTACACATGCATTACAACATTTGCCATGTTTAGTAATATTACGTGTGCACACACCTGAACCACTGAAGATACTTTTGAGAACCAACCAATGTTATGATATCTACATAGGCAGAAGCTTTATGTTACTGAAAACAAGGTGAAGATTTTTCAGGTATTGGTACAAATGTAATTCTTGTGATTTAACATGACTTTAGTCAAAGCATGGACTTGCACAGAACTATGACTGACATGTGGTTTTCTGACCTTTCGGTTAGATCCGTCAGCTCACTCAAACACGTCTTGAACAGAATCATGTACGGTGTACTTGGTAGACTAGACATTAAAGAAGAGACTTTGCTCTGAGGCCCTGCTTCCGACGCTCCATGGGGAAGAGGAAGCAGGAAAAAACAAAACTCATAGAGTTCGACAGCTACCGAGGCAACACTTGCCATTTACAATATAAGCCCAAATATTTTTGCAACACAACTATATATTAATTTAATAAAATACACAATATAGCTCTTATACACTCAACAATTTGGCTCATATGCACGGAGTCTGCAATAAATCAATAAAAATATGTCATTTGATGTAAACACATTGAATCTTCTAACATCTGCACACTTAAATGGTCGTGTGATTTGTTATGCCTAAGTTTTTTTGTTGTTTTTTTTTTTTTACTTTCCTGAGCTATTTTAGTGTCCAAAAAAATGAATAAAACACTTTAGTCATGTTAATTTTCTCTCAGTATTACTACTTAATGATAATCCATAATTCAGAACTCTTCAAATGTAAAACAAACTCACCATTATTTATATCTTTGTTGGACACTAAAATGCTAAATAGACATTTTTATGTATTCAAATTTTCTTCTTTAATGATGTGAATAGGTCTACATGTGTTCAGGACAACACAGACTATAGCTTTTTACATTGAACTTTTATATGACATGAGGTGTCTTACAAATGACCAAGGGTTTTGTTGTTTTATTTTTTCTCTTTTATTATTATTATATAATTTTTTTTTTGCTTTCTGACTAATGATATGGAATGGTCTTTGTGTTTATATGCTTGGCAGGTACTTTATACAGAAATGTTTACCACAAATATGTGTTAATGTTTGGTGTAGCTTGGACTACTGCAAGGTCTTTTCGGGACTTTCAGTAGAAGCCTGTGATGTCAGCTAGGGATCCACCACAGATAACAAATATGACCCTGCTTTGTATGGGGTTTATAGGTAAACAGTTAAGTCAGCATCAATCTCGGAGGACAGTCTTAGAGTGATCAGAAATACTTTTAAGTCTCACACTGCATACCTTCCTAACAGATTGTCAAAAGGTAACTTGTCTCATCCTCCATTTTCTTCTCTCCATTTTCTTCTCGCTCTCTCTTCTCGTTTCTCCTTAAGCATCATTAATTCTGTCCTAATATAAGTTTGGTCAAAACCATCGTTATTTCTGTAAAAGAAACAGCAGTGAAAAGAACATACTTGTGGGCACTTCAGATGTTCACTAAAAGCCTTAAAGCAGCATTGGTCCTTTTCCATCCCTGTAAAATGGGTTGTCACTGGGAAGGATCATTTTCAAATCAACAGAAGAGACAAGAAAACGCCAATGCCTTTTCCCCCCTCACTTTCTCACAGCCACAGGGTCATTTCCCCGGCAGTCCTGCAAGAGTTTATCAATCTCTCTCACAACTTCTTCGGCATCCACGGACTCTCTGCCCAGATCTCTGTTGGGGTGATCAAGCTGTTCCAGCACAGTTCCCACCTCGCTGGAATCCCGGCTGGCTCTTGAATGCACATCCGCAAAGACCCTTGCCATCTGATCGGAAGCCATGAAGGAAGGGTCTCTTGGTTGCTTACTGGGTGACAGATACTGACTGTCGGTGGGCAGGTAGGAGCTGCTTGCTTCAGCTAGGGCGCCTGGTTTTGCTTCACAGCCATCCAGGGAGCCTTTTGTTGAGGCGCAGGGCTCGATGCATGCCTTGGTTGGGCTGCTAGATGCTGAGGGGACCTCTTGGAGGAGAGGGCTCAGGGCACGTTTGGCTTTTAAATAAGGTTTCACATTGGCAATGAGAATAGTGTGCTCTCGCTTGTCTTTTCCAAATGTACAAAAAGTCTTTTTCCCAGTGGGATTCACAGTTTCGTAAGTCTCAGTCTCAACATTAGCTTCAACTGTGGGTACAAAGAGATTTGTGCGGTAATCTGCATTTTCAGCCTGATTGGCTGCAGGGAACTGTGGCATCCAACACCTATCAGAATGACCAAGCACTCGGCATTCATCTGTGCAGTTAATGCACTCTTCCGGTTCTGAAAAACAAAAGAGAACAGCAAATCCAATCATTAGAGTTTCCTTAGCATTTCTACTTAAGGCTGCGATCAGCTCTCACTGGCTTGCTTGACCTCTGGACTCTTAATTAAAAAGGAAAAGAAAACAATAATTAAAACATTTCAGGGTGGTTGCATAAACCTGCTTGTTGAGACAATGGTTTTATTTAAGTCTATTCTCTAGATATTAACGAATTCCCATAGCCTGGGAAGAAGTAAAAAGCGGTCGCTGGAGGGTGATTCTCAGTGGAATACAGCATCAGTGTAGCAAATCCCCTGGGGAGTTTAGTCTTTGTTCTATGTAACTGGTCCTCCAGACAGTGAGCATCATCAGGAGTGGTCAGGATTCCCTTCGCTAGATCAAATAATAAGGTAAAGAGTGGATCACACAATTTCCATAATAAGTTCTAAGCTGCTTTAAAATATTTTATCCTGATTTTATGTGTAATTGCTATTTTGGTGACAGTTGTGAAACAAAAGGATTCCTTTCGGAGCTGACTTTTTCCCTACTGAGCATTACAAATGGAATTTTCTATCAGACTTTATTATGAATAAGCTTGTCAAAAGGGCACTTTCCTGTTTTATTGTATATGCATGTGGGTCTTGTAGTCAATTTCCTTCACTTTCTGTTTTTGTTTTTAGTGTAAATAGTTGAAAATGACTTTATTCAACAGGTGTAGTTCGGAATAATGACACTTCATGATTTTTCTACTCTAAACAATAATGTCTTCTGTGAGAACTTCTTTGCAGGTGACATACAATCTATATAAAGCATTATTTAATGGTTCCCGTTTTAAGGACGCCGATGAGGAAGCATGAGGTAAAATGCCTTTGCTGTTGACTGTTGCTAGAAACTTCCTACTGATTCCAATATTTTCAACCATGTCTTTGAAATTACATTTTCTCAGTTGTATCTTTTTTTTTTTTTTTTTCTGTGAAGGGTTGTTTCCCATTTTTTTAATGATGCATTTTAGATAGGGGACTTTCACTAGGAGAAGAGGATATTTACAATTTACCTCTAAGTGATGGGAATAGAATTCCCTACACATTTAGGAGCCCTAGGGCTTGCCTTTTAATTGATGCTAGGTGATCCCTACAAATATCTGGTGTAATCTACAAGGAAAGAGAAGTCTACAAACAATGTATTTGGCATAGGAAACAGCAAATTTAAAATGATTTGTATGGAAACTTTTCAAAGTCACGGGAAACATTTGATTTTATATTTAAAGCCCATAGAGATTTTCTCATCCACAAACCAAACATACACACAAACTACTTTACCACACACACACAAAAGTGAGCTATGAAATAATATTATTTTATTAAGTATCAGAGTGGCACCTTGATAAGAGAAAATATTGTGATAACTCTTTGCATACATCACCTATACTTGTGACCTTTTTAATGTATTTAGTTTGTTTACATCTATTTTAACATGCCATTTATAAGGAAATATTTCCCCAGAATAAATACATTATTCACTCTTAAATTTATTATGTAAAGCAGGCAGTAATCTTGAGAAGAGATCTGAATCATGTACCAATAGAGTAAAACAGACTGACTGGCAGCTTGTTAAGAGGTTGGAGGGGCTTGAACTACTAGACAAGACCCACAGAACATTGTGGAATGTCTTGTTGAGTATTTAAATAGGATGCAAATTAAAATTTATTTTTAATTTCTCAGAGGTTCAGTATGGGGTATTTTCTTTAGTCTGATTTGTCTGAATGGCTATCATATGACTTTGTTAATCTTTTGTATCATTTAGAGCCACATATTTTATCTTAAAGTGATTTACAACCAATACACTCTTTTTGAAATATGCCAACATGGTTTTATATTTCAATATTGACTGTACTTCCATTTCAGCTCTTTAAATAACCAGCACTGAATGAACTCAACATGGATTAAGGTCAGGGAAAGAGATAGACTAATGCAGATTTAAGAAAATGTGAATCGACCCTGAATTTGAAACCATCAACATAAAATCGCTGTGCTTCACTGCTGCACATCCACAGCTTTTTATTTGACTCTTTTGTGTCACATCCAGGAGAGCAAATTTTAAGTATTGATTATGATACATTACAAGCCATGCACCTTGTGATGAGACTGTAATTTTGACGCCAGCAGTTCACAGACAGTGAGGAAAATCGAATGGAATTTTTGTGTAAACAGCAGAACCTATGAGCATAAAGCAAACTATAACTGCCAAAGTTCAAGTAAAAATTCATGGGTGGAGCCTTCCTAAAAGAACTTAAATAAATGTAAGAATAGGTAAAGTTAAAAGAGGCATGATTATATTCAGAAAAGAATTATCTAGAAAGACACATTAGACAAAATGAAACAATGGAAAGTAAGGAAAGAGAAAATAGTAAAAGAAAGGACAGAAAGAAGAAGGAAAAGAAAGAAGAGGAAGCAAAGGAGGAAGGAAAGGAGAGTAGAGGGCTAAAAAGGAGAAGAGGGTGGTTATAAAGGTGCACATTTAAAACATGGTTACATCTACTAGGGTAAGAGCCACATGTCTTACGAATCCCATATAATTCAACTCTCAAATAAGCTAAGCATGTGTAATAAAGAAGATAATGCCAAATATTCAAACAAATTTCAGAGTTATAAAAGAAGATAACCAAGATGTTCTCTGTGTCTTCAAAAGGATGGAGGCAAGAACAGAGATGTAGAACAATAAAGCTACAAAAATTGGAGAGTATGTAGAAGCATATTATGTTTATTAATATGGTATTGCTATAGATTTGGTATATGTGTTAGACAAGCAGAGAGGCCCTCAACAGGAGATCTCAAAACAGAGATGATCTAATACCATTTACCATCTAAGATGACATTACCTAGAATAATTCATGCTTATTGTCATCCCTGCTTTAATACAATATGGTCATCCTTTCAAAGAATGTGCTTCTTCCAGGAAAGAAAGCAGAGCCCTAAAGGTATACGTGGGAGAGAAACTGGGGAATTAAAAAAAAAAAATCTGAACATTAACAAATAGAGGTCACAGAGTCCGAAATTTTAAGTACCTAATTTAAGGAGACACCTCTTGACAGCCAAGTAGCTTCAATCATTCGCCTGGTATTAGGATTCATTTTCGGCTGAATGTGGTAGTGTATGCCTGCAATCTTACGACTCGGAAGAGTGAGGCAAGAGAATTATGAATTTCAGGACTGGCTGGATTGAATTATAAGCTACTTTATATATACTCCAAATTCTTCACACATATATGTATGTCATATAAGCAGCACTCAGGAAGATGAGGTAGGAGGAGAGCCAGTTCAATGTGTAGCACATAGTAAAATCTTGTCTCAAAAAAAACAAAACAAAACAATGAAATAAAGAAAGATATAAATGTAAAGAAAGATTAATAGATTTCATTTTAATTGTCACCTTTAATGTTTACTTATGAGTGTGAAACCAGTGATCAGATCAACAACTTAACTATACTTAACTTTAAATTTTCATAATTAAACACCACATACTTAAATAATTGGATTTTATCAGTCTTAGTGAAAAGGTCAGTATTATTTAGCTTTCATATTGTGATTTTAATCTTAGAATGTCACTAAATCATTAAAAATACACAGCTCTTCTGACACTCAGTGAAAGATGCTGTCAACTACTGTGAACATTAAAACTAAAAGTCAAGACATTGAAGTTAGCAAGGGTTAGCAAAAAAAAAAAAAAGTTAGGTGATGTCAAATGTAGGTATTTTGCAAAAACTCATGTGACTCCCCAACACGTCATGCTTGTGTGTGAGTGTGTGTCCACTATAAGGAAAAACTGTTGTGTAACCAACCAAAATGTCTTAATTCAGAGTGAATCTATTTCATGATTCCTTTCTGTGTTGCTCAGAGGCAGAAACTTATCACAAATATAAGTTTAAACCTATGCCTTTGTCTTCAAAGTGTCAGTTGCTACACCTATGAAAACAAATACCTAGCAACTAACTTGTTACCACTTAGGGAAGTGGTAGAGGATATCAAAGAATTGTTTCCCTTAGTTTCAGATTTACTTGCTACCTCCAAAATCTGTGTGTTCTTGTATCTGAGAAAACAGAGCGCTTCCAGAATAAGAAAACAACAACAACAACCACAAAATACCAGCATCAGAGGTTATAAATGTGTTCAATCTCCCAGTCTGATGTGTGTATATATACATACATACACATGTCTATGTATGCACACATCAGTGAGGAAGTTCTAGAGTGCAAAGGCTGTGGGATGGGTACTTCGAACTCTTCTTTGTGTTGTGACTACCAACAAGACGTTTTTATTTCTGTTTTGTAAACATCTTTATAAAGGCATAGTGCTATTCTATTACAGCTTTGGTTGGTAGTCTTTCTTAGAACATGTTAAAATTGGAGTGTTTCCAAGCAGATCACCCTATAAATAGAAGTCCATTTTTACTTTCATTTTAATTTTTTTTTTAATTTCTAATTTACCTTTTCCCACCAATGTAAGCTCTCATTACACCCAGTAGCTGCCGGGAAAAGTGAAATAGACACTGATCTTTATTTCCAGCTGGCATGGTGCTCTTTAGATTAATTCTATAGAATCTAAGCACAGTGTCTACCTCATTTACTTGCAAATGTTGACAAAACAAGGCCTTTGACTACAGGACCTATGTGTATATGTATATGTATATGTATATGTATATGTATATGTATATGTAT